CAGATGGTATACCACATGCTGAAAAGACGCAAGAAAAGCTACCAAAGTACCTTGAATATTTCTAAAACAAATAAGCAATATACATGAGACATATGTTGATTATATAATTAATAAATCTCTGTCAAGCCAGGGGAAAATTCTAGTTTTGATAAGCCAGAAACAATTCTAATTTTTAATAAAGTTACTTCAAATGTGCAATTTAGAGCTGTGGATACAGTGCACTGAGAAGAGCATTTGCTTTACAGGGGAGGCCCTGCGTTTAGTCCCCAACACTGGAAGGGCAAAACTATCCACAAGCACAGCTATAAAAATAATGACTAATAAAAAAAGAAAAAGAATGATTGTGAATCATTTACTTTTTCTAATTCTTAACATTGTGTGTAGTCTTTCAAATGCTCAAACCTAATGTAATTTTTTAAAATAGGTCCGTGAAAATAATTATTTTGAAATAAATATTTTAGATCTGAAAAAATAGCCAAATGTGATCTGTGGGTAAGTTCTCAATAACAAATGATCATTAAATATATAATGTAACTGGTTAGAAAGTACAAAAAAGCAGTATAATTTTCTTCAATCTCTTTTCCTCTTAGTAGTTGTTCCAGGTCAGCCAATTATGACCTGGAGCCATAATTTAATAATTATGATTAAATAACTTAATATCACACTATGTGAGTGTGTGAGGCCTGTAATCCTTTGTGAATAGCAAAACAGGCTGTGCTATCTCTGCAAGGAAGAAAGGAGCTTCAAATAAGTTAAAAGACCTTGTCAATATTCTCAGAAAAGGAATGTTACTTTTTACATTGACCAATCTCTAATTGTTAACTGAAGCACAGCAAATAAAACATGCTTGAAAAAACATGCTTGATCCTGTTTGTCTTTTACTCTACTGGTCCTTTTCATATGACCATATTTAATCTCTTCCAAGAAGCATATTCTTGTAAAATTCTAACCTCTGTGAAGTCAGTATGCATCTTCCTATGGATGGCCTATCAGTTTACTCTTTCTAAAAAAACACATAACACAAGGGCCTGAGTTCAATCCCTGGTTCCACCACAAAAAAAAAAAAAAAAAAAAAAAACAACCATAAAATACTGCTGCATTTCCATATCAGCAGCAACCTCTGCTTTGATAAACACATTATCCTGCCATTACTGTACCATAAGCAGCAATACTGGCAGCCCAGGTAGACATACAGCTGGAAGTTTTCAGAAAGCAATCACTCAACTATGGCCAAACACAATGGTCTCAAACTTACATGCAACAGCAGAGACTAAGAGTGGAACCTAGACTCCAAACCTTGAGGTCCTAGCTATACAATGCAATCTGCATGCTTCCCAGACAGGTATCAAAAAAGATCATATAGTAAACAGAGACTTTCATAAAGCTAACTTGAAACAACTGGACACATCCCACCCCACCATGGTGTTGGTGGACACCATGGGAGGAGTACAAACTTCTGTCTCTCCACAGGCTATAAGTGGGTGCCCGAGGTGTCAGAGCAGGCCTAGGGGGAAACCAGAACTGTCATCACCCAGCAGCTATGAAAAATTCCTATCTAGTTGTTAGTGGAAGTGAGTAGGGCCCTGGGATTGGACAGCCCCGGCATAACTATAAATAAAGTGTGTGGGTAGAGTCTGGCTGCAGACAGTGGCTTATGGAGATGGACTACCCTTTCTAGACCTTTCCTGGTTCATTTTGAACACCCTACTTATGAGATAAACTTGGGCTTGGATTGCCCTCTAGTGTACAAACAGGGACACATGACAAGCCGCCCATATTCAAAATACCACAATGACATCCAGTAGAAAAGTATGAAGTCGAAATATAGAAAATAAAGCCATGCTGTTAAGTTGAGCTGTGGGGGACTCAGGTCAATAATTTCTGACATTGCCAGTTAAATATAAGACCCAATGCTATTATGGGCTACTGGACTCTTTTAGAATATTTTGCTGAGTTTACACACCTATAATATTCAATAACGGAACTTAGAAAAAATGGGGTATACCGATGAATGTCCATTTTGTATCTGTGTATTCAAAGAGGTTGGGATAGATATATAGTTGCATTCTCTTAATGAATAGAATGATTTGTTCTAATGGTGTTTGTAAATGGGATCACAAGTCCGCATCTTGTACAGCAATTAACCACTAAGAAGAATATATGCAGTGTATTATTTGTTGAAACTGTCCTTCCGATATGATTTGAAACTGTCTCATTGCTATCTGTTTGTCAATAAAACTTTGGAAAAAAATAAAATAAAATAAAATAAAATTTCAAAAAAAAAAAATTAAAAAAAAAAAAAACAAAAAACAGGGACACAGACCACCACAAAATTGGCAAACCTGGACTTGGGTGCTATTCATATAAAATAGCGGAAGTGACTCCATGGTCAGAGAAAATAAGAAGTCTGCTTAGCAATGGTCATGACTCATCCACATGGCTGACACTGACAAAGGATCTACAAGCTGTGGTACAGGGTTTCAGGATAAATCCTGGGGAGACTTGACTGACCTTATCAGATACAAAGTTACAATTCTTGTTATATAGGTCTTGCTTTATCTTGGTCTTAATCATCCTGCAGAAAAGTATAAACAATGAGGTATGAAAAGTAAAGCCATATTAATATGCTGAGCTGTAAAAGGCTTAAGTCAACAACTTCCAACATTGCCAGTCCTATGTATAACCCACTACTGTTATGGACTACTGGAGTATATTGGAATTTTTAGCTGAATTCATGCACCTACAATATTTAAATGACAATGGAATACCCTTCTCTAACAAAACTAAACAAAAAAAGGGGATACAAATGAATGACCATTTTGTATCTGTATATTCAAGATAGGATAGATACACAGCTACTTTCTCTTAATTCAGTGAGAAGAAAGATTTGTACTAATAGTGTTTGGACAGGATATCATGTCTGCATTTTGTACTATGAATAACTACTATGAAAACAACAATATTTAATATATTGATTATTGTAACTATTCTACTAACCTGTTTTTCTTATTTTTTTGAGAAACAAATATCAATAAGACACTTTCCAAGCTGATTAATAGGACATTTTCAATAATTAATACATTGTACATTGTTATCTTCTCAGCAGTCATCCACAGCACAAGAAGCAGCCAGGACATCCTGTCCAAATATAACTACTACAAAACCTTCCTCTCACTGAACCAAGTGAAAGCAGCCGTACGTCTATCCTAACTATTCCGTATATGCAAATACAAAATGGTCCTTCCTCTGTATCCCCCCTCTCCAGTTCAGTCCTGTCAGAGATGAGTATTCTATTGGCATCTAAATATTATAGGTGCTTGAATTCAGCAAAACAATCCAACACAGTCCAGTAGTCCACAATAGTAGTGGGTTATCCACAAAAGTTGTTGACTAGAGCCTTCTACAGCTCAGCATATTAATATGGCTTTACTTTATATACCTCATTCTTATGCTTTTCTGCTGAATGGTTAAGACCAAGATAAAGCAAGACCTATATAACAAGAAATGTAACTTGTGTATCTGATAAGGTCAGTCAAGTCCCCTCAGGATTTATCCTGTAACCCTGTACTGCACTTTGTAGATCCTTTGTCAGTGTCAGCCATGTGGATGAGTCACAGCCAATGCTTGACCAGTTTTCTCTCTGTGAAAGCCTGAGACAAAGCTTTTTCTCCATGTGACTCTCCTTGGGCACACTATACATCATCAATCACATTCCTCTGCTGCTCCATAATCTCCTTGATCAGAAAATTTGGGGCACAACTGAGTTACTTGATGTTACAGTACGAGTTCTCCTATGTTCTCAATCTTCACTGACCTTCAAAGGCTAGAGCCAAAATGTTGGCTGACCTTGCAGCCCTTCCTTTTCTCCAATTTTTGATCTGCAAACTTAGGTTGTTAACGCTCCAGAAGAGAAGCTTATTATTATTACCCTGCAACATATGCAGTTCGGTTTACTCTAACTGTCTGAATATCGAATATCTTAGGCATAACATGGAACAGGTATCTTCCATCAAGTAACTAACCTGTTTTGAAACTGTCTCATTGCTATTTGTTTCTCAATAAAATTAATTTTAAAAAAAGAAGAAGAAGAAGAAGTGTGCTTAGGCATGCTGGAAAGGCAGGGACACATAACCCAGACTAGGAAAACTGGAATAAAGTCTTGATCCTTCACTCCACAGACACTATAGCACACCAACAAGTATCAGTGCTTGCAGTGAACCATAACTTTATTTAAGATTCAAAATAAGGTGGTCAGATAATAATCTGTATGAAGAAACTCTCAGAAGAATTTAAAACAGTGGTTTTAAGAAAAACTCAATGAACTTGAGGAAAACAGATTGAAAAGTTATTCGCTGGAACAGTGGCCTCACCTAGTGCTCTGTGCCTGATTATGCTCCCCACCATCCTGACAAAGATAAAGTGGGGTACTGACATAAAACTCAGAGACGTGACCAGATACGGACCAGAGGAGAATCTTAAATATCCCAAGCATTTATACCCTGCTGTAATCGTCCACATTCAATTACTTTTGATTTCAACTCTATACCTATCTTGCAGGTGCCTCTTCCTTATCTTCTTTCTCCCTCGACTTTTCTTCAGACAAAGAGGGAAAATGTTCAACTATCCTATTCCCACAAACAACCTCTCCTTTCTGGTTCCTTGTTTTGTCCTACTGAAGTACAATCATCACTGTTACGTTCTGAGGCTTCCAACCGAAGGGCTAACACAGGTTACGAGACTGCTACAGGAGAGACTGCTGCCAGAGGGAGCCCGCAGTTCCCTTTCTACAAGCCCCACCCACAGGCTCCACCCCTCCTGGCTCGCGCAGATAGTATAGCGTGGCCTTGGCCCCCGAGACCGCCCCCAAGTCGCGTCGGGCTGTGCCGCCCCCATGGTGAGGACAGAGCCGCCGTCGACTCCAGTCTCGGATTGGTTCAGAGGGTCGCCCTCAGCCAATTAAGGCACGGGGGCGTTGTCCCGGGGCGGGTCTCTGATCTTGCTGACTGCGCTCACTCGGCCCTGCTCCGCCCAGGACCACCCTGAAACTCTTGCAGCAGCTGCCCTGCGCCCTCCCTCAGAGGTCCTCGGGCCTGGGGTCTCCTGGGACATGGCCTCAGCCACTGCGTCCTTAGCAAGGACGGCCCTTGGCGGGGCCTCTTCGCTCTTCCTGCGGCGCGGCTATCAGACGGAAAGGGGTGTCTACGGCTGCCCTCCAAGCAAAACCCAGAGCCAGGAGCCCCGGGGTGGCCCGGCACGCACCTCAGGTCTGGGCTGGATGGGGACGCGCAGGAGGGGGCCCAGCCAGGAGACACGGAAATGTGGGCGTGGGTCTTTTCAGGACCAGGGTCATTCCCTGGTTAGCCAGTGTAGCTGGGGATCCATGAAGTTGGGGTCCTAACGTTGGTTCAGCCTTGTTTTGCTAGTTCTGGCTTAGTTTTAGGGATTTCTTTCTCCCGTCCCATTTTTCATTTTGTTAGCACATATTTGAAATTTATGTAGTTTACAATCATCTTGGAGAGTATATATTACAGCAATACGCGCACGTGTGTGTGTCTGTGCTTGTGCAGTTTTTTGTTGTTGTTGCTTTTGTTTTATCTTCATCGCTTGTCCCTCCTTTCCCTTCCTCAGTTTGTTTTCGTCAAAGCTGTGACTTATGTTTACACCGATTTGGGTTATTAGGTGCCTGTATAAAATGGCATATGCTTCATTTCACTTATCCGTGTCCTTCCCCCTATCCTAGGTCCTTTGGATCCTTTCCCCATTGGACAAGTTCTATCCCCTTGTCCCTTTCTATTCATCTTTATCATTTTCTTTGTATTTTGCCTCACTCAAATGAGAGATACTCTTAACAATTGAATGTGTGGGAATTGTGCTCTCTTCGGCCATAAAAAAAGAGAAGTTCTAGAATGGCCCAACCCTGGAGTTACCCAAAAGATACTTTCCAGGACCAGCTCCAAGGCTGTGTGGGTGGAGATGTGCAGATGAGGAGGGCAGTTCATACTGACCATAGAGGGCATTGTTAACTGTTTGACTCTTTCACCTAACCTTTCACTTTAATTTTAGAATTTGAGACTGTGGAACTTAGAGCCCCATTGCTGGTGGTTTTCATGAATTCACTGACTTCAACATCAGGTTTTGGAATCTCTGTCTCACACACATGAGAGAAAGTAATGTTGAGTATTGTATTTATGCACTAAAATTATTCAGTTTTCACAGAATACGTGAATACAAACTGGTTGTTAGAAAAACTATTTGGAGGACTGGGGAGATAGCTCAGTAGAATAAGCACTTGCCTGGCAAGTACAAGGTCCTGAGATCAATCTCCAGTACTGAGGAGAAGGAGGAGGAGGAGGAGGAGATTGTAAGGGGACAAAAACTTCATTTTTCTCTTTTAAGTGCAAACACTTTGGCCAACTAGACTGTCAGATGTAGATATTTAATTTCACTTTGTAAATGAGTGTTTAGAATATTACACCCCTGTGTTGGGGAAGAAACCCATGGCTTTTTCTCCTACAAAGCCACACCTCCTGTCCCCTCAGAGTTTGTGTCAGTTGTTCTCAGACGCAATTGTGGAAGCCAAGTGTGTTGGTAAATACTTGTAATGCTAGCACTCAGGAGCCTGAGGCAGGCGGATTCTGTAAATTCAAATCTCAGCCTGGACCACATGTGAAACGGCATTTCAGAAGTAAGAAAGGGAAGAGAGAGAGAAAGAAAAAGAAGGAGGCTCAGATGTAGATTAAGTGATTTAAATGTTTACAGTGTCTGTTCTCAGGTGTTCCTCTTTATATCTACCGGGTTATAATTCAATGATCTGAGGTACTGGAGACTGAACTTGGTATGCATATACTGAGCTACATCCCTAGCCTTTTTTTTTTTTTTTTTTAAATTTTGAAAGAAGGTCTCACTAAGTCCCTAAATTACCCAGTCTAAGCTTGAAGTTGTGATCCTCCTGCCTCAGCCTTCCAGAGTGCTGGTGCTGTGACAGGCATGTTCAATTATCAGAAGTCTTTGTGTAGATTATTATCTCCTACCAGGTTGCATGGGAGAAAGGGGAGAAGAGTGTTGCACATATCACTACCAATATGTTGCACTAATCAGCACTTGATCAATATCTGTGTGTGTCAGCAAGGAGACTGGGAAGCATTGTCTTTACCCAGAGTGACCATATACTAGCTGAAAATTATCCTGAGAGAAGAGGAAATTTGGTGTTGAGAAAGCAGGTAGGGGGCTGGTGAGATGGCTCAGTGGTCTAAAGCACCTACTTAGAACAAGCTTAGCAAAAAAGCACAGGGACCACATGCCAGCCAGCCCCGCCCCCTGGTGGGCTGAGCTGGCCACACACACACACACACACACACACACACTCACAAATAAAAAAAGAAAAAGAAAAGAGAAAGCAGGTAGGCTGCTAGGCTCTCTAACCTCCTGTTCTCTATAATTTGGTCATCTCCTGTGTCCTCTGAATCTGGCTCAGTCATTATCTCTGGACTTTGTGCAATCCTCTCTGCCAAGGCTGGCTGAGGCTAGTCAGGAATGGAACTATGTGACCTCCCACCCACTCTATGTACACACATTAGCTATACAAAGAAAACTCATTTATCCTTAGAAAGAATAAGAAATGCAGAGCAGCCACTGGCTCAAACCACATTCCAAAGCCTGTTAGAAGGAAACAGTAGCAGCTGTTTGAGGCAATCATATGTTAAGTCCACTAGTTTATTTAGCTCCCTAAGTCTGCCCTCTGTCCATTCCCTTGCCTTGGCCTCATGGATTCTTTTCATATCTGGCATCTTGATGGTCATAGTTTACATGGCAGTGGAGAGTATCAAGTAGCCTCCTTCAAGGTCACACACCTTCCACTCCCTGTTTTATTTTGATAAGATTAAGAAATTAAAGATTACCTCAGGCATCATCAGTTACAATTTTTGTTTTGCTTAGTTTTTTTCTCCAGAGTTGAGATTTCTTTGACAGCACCATTTCCTCCTAAATGTCATAAGTCTTGTTTGTCTATGGCTATTCAAGAGTGAGTTACCATCTTTAACTATAAAGATGTTAAGACTGAAAAGCAAAATGTCTATTTCTTTTTTTGTGTAATAAAACTAGAATTTAACTTTATTTTTTAATAATTTTATTGAGAAATAAATAGCAATCAGACAGTTTCAAAACCGATTAGTAGGACAGTTTCAATAATAAATACATTGCATATTGTTGTCTCAGTGGTTATTTATTGTACAAGATGCAGATATGATATCCTGTCCACAAACACTTTTATTTTTATTTTTTTTTCTTTTCAAAGTTTTATTGATAAATATATAGCAATGAGACAGTTTCAAATCAAATCGAAAGTACAGTTTCAACAAATAATACACTGCATATATTCTTCTTAGTGGTTAATTGCTGTACAACTATGAACTTTTTTTGGGGGTGTACCAGGGATCAAACTCAGGACCTTGTACTTGCCAGGCAAGCACTTATTCCACTGAGCTATCTCCCTGGCCCCACAAACACTTTTAGAACAAATCTTTCTATTCATTTAATTAAGAGAAAGCAGCTGTATGACTGTTCTAACTATTTTGAATATGCAGATACAAAATGGTCATTCATTTGTTTCCCCTGTTTTTGTTTAGTTTTGTCAGAGAAGGGTATTCCTTTATCATTTAAATATTGTAGGTACGTGAATTCAGCAAAATATTCCAATATACTCCAGTAGTCCATAATAGTAGTGGATTTTTCCATAGGACTGGCAATATCAGAAGTTGTTGACTTGAGCCTTTTACAACTCAGCATATTAATATGACTTTACTTTTTATACTTTGTTTTTATACTTTTCTTCTGGATGATTAACACCAAGATAAAGCAAGACCTACATAAAAAGAAATGTAACTTTTACACCTGATAAGCAGAGTCAAATCCCCTCAGGATTTATCCCGAAACCCTGTATATCAGTTTGTAGATCTTTTGTCAGTGTCAGCCATGTGGAGGAGTCATGACCATTGCTTGATCAATTTGCTCTCTGTGAAAGTCTGAGAGAATATTTTCTCTCCATGTGACTCTCCTTAGGCACACTCTACATAGTCAGTCACCCTCCTCTGTGGACCCATAATCTCCATGATCAGAAAATTTGGGCCAAAACTGAGCTATATAATATTACAGGATAGGTTCTCCTATGTCCTCAGTCTTCACTGACCTTGAAAGGCTAGGGCCAAAATGTTGGCTTTCCTTGCAGCCCTCCTTTTTCTCTAATTTTGGTCAGCAAAGTTAGGTTGTTAACCCTCCAGAAGAGAACTTCATTATTATTACCCCACAACATAGGCAGTTGAGCAAAACCTCACTATCTATCTGAGTATCAAACATCTTAGACATAGCATAGAACATGTATTTTCCATTAAGTGTAGATATGTTAAACTTTAATTCCCTAATGAATATGGAGGAAAAAATAAAAATTAAAAAATATTTTAAAAATAGGAATAAGCAATTACATATTTTTACACAGAAATTTCAAAATCTAACTATATGCAGCATTGTAGCAGGACAATCCTATGACTTTTTTTTCTTCTCTCTTGTTTTCATTTATTAACCTTTTTTTAAAAACAAACACTGGAGAGACAGTATGGCAGTAACTGGTATGTCATGACAAGCAGTATGTATTTAGAAGACCAGAATGACAGACATTCCAAGCATGACCCTAGTATTACACATTGTTATCTTCAGTGCAGTAGCTTAGTTCACAGGTATCAGCATATATAGTTAGTCAGGGTGAGAATCCTAACAATTAACTACTAGTTTCAAAAACCTGCAGAAGAGTCTCAGGATCATTGCCTTAACAATATTGTGCATATAAATGTATGGCTTTGCCCCTGTCGTGTTTTCTAGCTTTTCTCCTTTCCCTCTCTTTCTTGTCTAATTCTCAAGTTCTCCCTTTCCTTTTTTTTTTTTTTTTTTTTTCAGAACCAGGGATTGAACTCAGGCCTTTGTACTTGCCAGGGAAGCACTTACTCCACTGAGCCATCTCCCCAGCCCCTCCCTTTCCTTTTAATTGTGTTATACCTTTCTATTTTATTTCTTATTTTGAGTTCTTATACTAGGGAGATTATATGATATTTACACATGTGGGTCTGGTTTATTTCACTTATGAGTACATCTTCAATTGGTGTCCACTTAAATATAAACACTTCAAGTTTATCATTCTTTATAGCTGAGTAATACTGCATTGTAGGGGCTGGTGATATGACTCAGTGGTCTAAAGCACCTACTTAGAATAAGCTTA